CAATGCCATTATCTAATATTGAGAAAAATGCAATTTCTTGTCATATAAAAGTATAATAAATTATGTCATTTTTATGAAGTACCCAAAAAATTTTCATTTGGAACGATGTGGGATTGAAGCAGTCTAATAAAAAAAATAGTTTCTTCCCAAATATTACGAAAAATACAATAACTTGTAATATAAAATAAAATAATGAAGTTTTTTTCATGTGAAACATTGTGAAATTAAAACACAGTTTGCTTAAATGTACTGGAACATTGTGGAATCGAAACAAATTTTACAAAAAAAAAACTAGTTACTTTTTCCCTACTATTGCCAAAAATACTTGTCATATTCAATAAAATAATCGTAATGTTTGCATGTGGAATGTTATGGAATTGAAATACCTTTATAAAAATAGACTAATCTTATATCTTATCTAATACTGGGAAAATGCTTTTACCTGTTATATAAAAGTAAAAATTGTTACATTTTTCTGAAATACTCAAAAGTTTTCCAATTGGAATGATGTGGAATTGAAACAACTTTTACAAACATTTATTATTTTTCCCTAATATTGCCTAAAATGCAATTTCATGTCATATTAAATATTGTAATTGTAATGTGTGCATGTGGAATGTTATGGAATTGAAATTCTTTTATAAAAATAAATTTATCTCAATCCTTTTTTCTTAAAAATTCAATTCTATTATCTGATATAGCGAAAAATCCATTTATCTGTTATACAAAAGTAAAAATTATGTAATTTTGCTGATATACTCAAAAGATTTCCAATTGGAATGTTGTGGAATTGAAACCAATTTTACAAAAAATTATTAGTTTATTCCCTAATATTGCTAAAAACTCAATTACTTGGCATATTAAATAAAATAATCGTAATTTTTTCAAGTGGAATGTTGTGGAATAGAAATACCTTTGAACAATATACTCATCTCAATTCTTTTTTTTTCTAAATTTTTTTGCAACAATAAAAATCAAATTCTATTATCTAATATTGCGAAAAATGCAATTACCTGTTATATAAAAGAAAAGTTATGCCATTTTTCCGAAATACTCAAAGCATTTTCAATTGGAATGTTGTGGAATTGAAACAAATTTTACAAAAAATTATTAATATTCATCCTAATATTGCCAAAAATCCAATTTATTATAAAAATTACATAAAAAATCAACTTTTTCGTGTGGAACGTTGTGGAATTAAAACACATTTTTCCGAAAAAAAATATAATTTTTATTCTCTATACATCAAAAAGTGCTATAACTAGTCATAAAATATTACAAATTTCTCATTTTTGTGAAGTAACCCTAAAATTTGGTTACTGTGGAACACTTTGAGTCTACAATCCACTCACTTCCATTTGAACCAAATAATTTTCCTATACAAAATGCTTCCATTTCATTAACAAATGTTTGAAATTAAGTCATACAACCATAAAATTACCAACCCACTTTTCATTTGCGCGTTTCGTTTCCTTCCTGGCCCCAGCACAATAACAACAATAATTTATATCTTTTCGTGTTTTGTAACATTTCATTTTTCCACACCAATATTTTTCTCTTTTTTTTTTTTGCTGCTCCTATGTTGGTAAGTAGGCTGGTTGGTTGGCTGGTAAGAAATGCGTAAATGCGTGTTATTCAAGCAGACATACGTACATACCTACATAAATTTAAAGTTATTACCTTATTTAAGTGAAATATTTCTTTGGCATTTTGTTGGCAATATTTTTGCACTCGCAAGTCCCATATGTTATAATTTTATGAAATATGCAATATTTTGCTTTCATCCTGGAAAGCTCTTTAATGAGGCGCTATTATTCAAACATGTTTGTGAGAGGGCATTGGCGTAGTTGGGATACATTTTTCAAGGGGTAGATATGAATTTCAGAGCTGCTGGGATGTGATTTGTCTAGAAGAGGGTGGATCCGCAGATAAATTCCTAAAAAAGTGTAAATATTTTTACCCCTTTAAATATCTACGCCCCTGGTCACTTTTCACAATAATGACCATTTAAAGACTTCATTTCCTACCAAAAAACATAGCTGAAGATTTAAAGCCTTTGCTGGCTGAAGTATTTCATTTCATGTTTCTGGTTAAAAAAATATCTGCGAGAATATGATACCAGTTAACGGCCGTAATCTAAAACCTTAAAAGCCCAAACTGAATACAATTTAATGAGCCTGTTGTTGTTGCTGTTTGTGTGCTGTTATTTTTCACAAGGCAAATGATTAATGTCCTTGTTTTCCTCTAGCAGACACTAGGCGGTCTAGCAGGAAATGCTGAGGAAAGTAAATAATGCAGCAATATTTAAGTGGAATATAATGAAATTCTTATTCAGTAAATATTACGGTACAATTGTTTTGCATAAATGTTTCAATTCCATTTTTTTTGCACATTTGGGAGTATTCCCAATAGTATATATTTTCTACACTTTGAGATCGAGACCCATTTTGTTTCAAAAATATGGCAGAAAACCTCAACGTACAAAAACGTTCACCGTTTTTAATACAGGGTGAGAAAAAAACTGCAACAAAGCCAAACGCCATAATTTTTACATTCCTTTTAAAATTTTATTGAATGAAATCAAAAAATGTCAGAAATAGCATCAAATTTTCGAATAAGTTTAGATTTGTTCGAATTGGTCACCTTTGGCTCGAATTATGGCCTTCAAATGGCCAATGAAACTGTCACACACTGCCCGAATGTTGCTCTGTGGTATTTTGGCCCATTCCCGGCGAAGCGCTTGTTTGAGGTGATCGACACTTTTGTATTTTTTAGTGCCAACCTTGCTTTCCAAAAAACTCCAGTCACAATAGTCCAACAACCATTGGTGGCCATTGTGCGCTGGAAATGAAGCGAGTAACCTAACTTTGTAACAATTCTTGGGTCTCGTGTTGTGGCCCTGGTCCAAGGTCTGCGGGCAAGATGTTTGCGTGCCCAAGGCTTTAATACACCCTCCACAATATTTTCACGATAATATTCGACATTAATACGAGCGGAGAGCGACCATCGTCTGTTATGGCGGCCCATATCATCACCCTGGCCGGCGCCATAATATTCGGTATTTATTCTGATGCCACGGTCGATTAATACGAGCAAAGAGCAACCATCGGCTGTTATGGCGGCCCACACCATCACCATGGCCGGCGCTTGAGTTCTGGTGGCCAACCGAAGGTGCACATTTTCAGCTGATCTCTATGCCAAGTAAACACGATCGTTTGGTTTGTTTACAAACTACTGGACAAAGAATGTTTTTTGTCATCGGAGAAAACCAAATTCGGCAGTTCACCATTTTCGGCCAAGCAAAGCAACTCTTTAGCTATTTTGAGTCTTTTTTCATTCGGTTGCGGTGTAAGTTCTTGCACTTTTCGGAATTTCAATGGCTTTAACCCGAGCTCATTTTTCAATATTTGCCGAATGGAATATTGCGATATGTTCAGCTCACGAGCCATTTTTCGGTTACTGCGATGAGGGTGTCGATCATGTCGCTTCTTTACTTTTCGAACCATTTCTGCAGATGTTGCTGTTTTCTTCTGTCCATTACCTTGACGTCGAGCTACACTACCAGTATCACGGTACCGAGCGATGGTATGAGGCACAAAAGATTTATTCATATTTAAATGCTGGAGTACTCTAACGTTAGCCGCTTGTGGTTTTCCAGCCAAGTATAAAGAAATCACACTATCACGCTTGAATTCCATCACGAATCATTTTTTTCCTGAAAAATTCTCACCAAAATGATTTTGTCGCTTGTAAACAATATAATGAGCTATCACTGGAATAATTTTAACAGTTGTCGGACGAGTGGCTTAGAAATGACAGCCGTCTGAAGTTGGTTGCAGTATTTTCATCTCGCCCTGTAATTTAAGCTCAAGACACAAACAGAAAAAAGATAAATCTTTATGTTTCATAAAAATATTTTTTAATTCAAAATTACGTAAAAAATTCGCATTCCATAAAAAAAATAGTTTTAAAAAATCCACTTTTATTAAAAGTCCTTAAAATAATATTTTTAAAAAATCCACTTTTATTAGTAGTCCTTAAAATATTTTTTTTTTTAAATCAACGTTTATTGAAAGGGTAAATTTTTATTTTTAAAAATTCATGGCTATTGATAGCCCCTGAAAAAATATTTTAAAAAAATCAACTTTTATTGTCATTCCTTGAAAATACATTTTTAAATCAAAGATTTTATCATCAGTCTTAAAAAAATATTTTTTTTTAAAATCCACTTTAATTAAAAGTCTTTGAAGATATATTTTTAATAAATCCACTTTTATTAAAAGTCCTTGAAATAATATTTTTTAAAAATCAACGTTCATTGAAAGGGTCAATTTTTATTTTTAAAAAATCCAAGGATGTTGATAGCCTCTGAAAAAAATATTTTTAAAAAATCAACTTTTATTGTCATTCCTTGAAAATACATTTTTAAATCAAAGATTTTATCATCAGAACCTTTCAAATTATTTTTTTTTAATTCAAGATTTTAACCCAGAAAATCCTTCAGATATATTCCAAACCCCACGACTACAGCTCGAAAGGCCTTAAAAAGTTTTTTTTTTAATTCCAGATTGTCTCCTTGTTAGTCCTTGGAGAGACTCCATTAAAGAAAATGGCTTTAATGTGGTTTCATAAAATATAGCTTTTTTCAGACTATTATAACTATAATAATTATGTTCCAATCTCATTTCATTCCAACTTCCCACAATAATGATACCATTATTAAATTCCCCCCTTCTGTTAATAATTTATTATTTTAAATTACCATTTAATACATCCTTTACCTGTTTATAATACCACTTCATAAATAATAGAGCTCTCTCTCTCCCTCGCTCTCTCTTAAATATTTTATGAATTCAAATTAATTTGCCATTTTCACAGTGGCCTTTTCATTGCTGCTCAGGACAAAATTGCCCTCAATTTCAGTTATTTATAATCAAATTTATTCATTCGTCTGCCGAACCCCCACCCGACTTAATGCTCCTTTTGTTTTCTATTTACAGCAATCTCTGTTGGCAGGACGTATACCGGTAGCCTCAATGACGGGTCCAATTAAACGCGGCCTTTTATGGCAGCAACGTGATCGTTTGTTTTCACGATGGAAAGAAAGGTAAGGCTGGCATACTAAATTATTATGGTACACACAGTGAATGAATGAATATTTGATGGAGAAAAAAAAACAGAACAGAAGCAAATTGGAAAGAGTACCTCCCACAATGGGCAGACGCGGGGTTGTACTTCAAACTTTTTACGTTGCAATACAAGTTGCATAGCCATGGCCCAGTGCGTGGTTGCAAGGTTTATAGATAACCTGCTGTATTGCATGCAATTCAATTGTGCGGGAGGAAAGGGTCAGGGGGAGTTTTTTCATTCACTCTCACTGAGGATGTAGAGAAATGTTTTCTTTTTTCCAAAAAATAAAACACAAGCTTTAGTATTTTAATTGGTGACAAATAATTGACAGGTCAACTACATGTCTATGGCAAAGAGAAGCCATGAGCTAACCTCATACCGAACCTAGTATGACACGTGTTTGTGGCCAAGGATGTTTCCAGCAATGTCCATGTCAATGTGTGTGTATATGTTGTCGAGTTGTGAAAACATTTCACTACAGGATATTTCCATTGTCTGATTTCATTGTTGCCGTGTGTCTCGTCCGGTTTTTTTCTCTGACTGAGTTTTAAGTGAATTATTTTAAATAATTAATGAATACATGCCAAATCGTTTCAATCCAATTCTTTTCGTCTTTCATGCTATCTGCAATTTCTGACTGCTGACTGACAATTGCCATCACACCGAAAATGTGTTGTGTTGAGAAAACAAAACCCCCAAAAAAAAGTTCATTTGCAAAATTGATATAAATGGAAATTGTAATTGATTTGCTATCTTCTGAAGTGCATTCGTCGGAGAGAGAGAAACAAAAATTGGGGTTAATGGTTTTATGGTGTTGATTTTGTTTTGAAAATTTCTGTTGGCTGGTGGGAATTTCGGAAAATATTTAATAATGTTATTTTTCAAATAATCAATATTTAAATCCATATACCATTGTTTGCCAAAAAACAAATTGATGGGAGTTTGGGATGAATGAACAGAGATGTTAAAAACGCCAATTGGGGTTGATGAGTGTTTTAAACATTGTAATGCCATTTGAGCGGCCAAAAATTTTCCAAAAAATAAATAAGTTCGACCGGGCCGAACTTTAAATACCTTCCACTATTTGGAACGAATTTGGAAATTTTCAAAAAATAAAATCCTTTAAAAATTCAGTGAAAATCTTAAAAATACCGAATATAGCCTTTATATTTGGGTCTATACGACGTGGATCTACATAGACATTGTTGTCATAAGTCATTACCATATTCAAATTCGAAACTTGAAATAAACGGTGAACAATGTAGCTAAAATCATCGAAATACCGTATATAGGTATACCGTATAGGTACCGTTATATCGGAGCATCCATGTATCCATCTGTAGCATTTATTACGAACTACAAATACGACATATCAAATAATTTCGGTGAGTATTGACCTAAAATCGTCAAAATACCGAATATTGGGAGGTACTGACATGTGAAGCCTATACGAAGACGTGGACCTGCGTAGACAATTTTCTGTCTTAGGCTGTAGTATTCATTACGAACTTCAAATACCAAATTTGAAATAATTCAAAATACCGATTATAGGGAGGTACCGTTATATGGGGGCTATATGAAAACGTGGACCTACATGACCCATTTACAAACTTAACCCTACTGGAAAAATAAACTTGTGTGCAAAATTTTAGTCTTCTATCTCAATTCGTTCGAAAGATAGCGTGATTACAACAGACGGACAAACGGACATCGCTAAATTGACTTAGAATTTTACGCTGAACAAGAATATATATACTTTGTTGGGTCTGATATGGGTATTTCGAGGATTTACAGACGCAGTGACAAAGTTAATATACCCTCCATAGTATGGTGGAGGGTATAAAAAATCCACGATCATGGATGGTTCTTGAAAAAAATATTTTTAAAAATCCACATAAAAAATATTTTTTTTCAAATTTCTAAATACTCCTTAAAAAATATGTCTTCCGAAATTTTAAATACTCCTTAAAAAATATTTTTAAAAAATCCACATTGATTGGTAGTCATTGAAAAAATATTTTTAAAAAATCCAAGTTCATGGATGGCTCTTGAAAAAATATTTTTAAAAAATCCATGTTTATGGATGACCCCTGAAAAAAATATTTTTAAAAATCCATGTTTAAGGATGACCCCTGAAAAAAATATTTTTAAAAAATACACGATTATGGATGGCCCTTAAAAAAATATTTTTTAAAAATCCACATTTATAGATGGTCCTTGAAAATATATTTTTAAAAAATCAACATTTATGGATGACCCTTGAAAAATTATTTTTAAAAAATCCACGTTTATGGATGGCCCTTGAAAAAATATTTTTTAAATCCACGTTTATGAATGGATCTTGAAAAATTATTTTTAAAAAGTCGACGTTTATGGATGACCCTTGAGAATTATTTTTAAAAAATACACGTTTATAGATGGCCCTTGAAAAATTATTTTTAAAAAATCCACATTTATGGATGACCATTGAAAAATGATTTTTAAAAAATCCCCGTTTATAGATGGCCCTTGAAAAAATATTTTTAAAAAATCCACATTTATGGATGGCCCTTAAAAAATTATTTTTAAAAAATCCCCGTTTATAGATGGCCCTTGAAAAAATATTTTTAAAAAATCCACATTTATGGATGGCCCTTAAAAAATTATTTTTAAAAAATCCACGTTTATAGATGTCCCTTGAAAAAATATTTTTAAAAAATCCACGTTTTTGGATGGTCCTTGAAAAAATATTTTAAAAAATCCACGTTTACATATGGCCATTGAAAAAATATTTTTAAAAAATCTACATTTATGGATGGTCTTGAAAAAAATATTTTAAAAAAATCTACATTTATGGATGGTCTTGAAAAAAATATTTTTAAAAAATCCACGTTCATAGATGGCCATTGAAAAAATATTTTTAAAAAATCCACGTTTATAGTTGATGCTTAAAAAATATTTCTAATAGACCAACGTTTATTGTTGATGCTTAAAAAATTTAAAAAATCCATTTTTATGGAAGGCCTCTGAAAAAATATTTTTTTAAAAAATCCACGTTTATTATCGGCCCTTGAAAAAAATATTTTTATGAACTCCACTTTATTATTTAAAAAGTGCTTTTAAAAATCTTCGTTTATTTTTGGTCTTTGAGAAATATTTTTATTGTTGGTCCATGAAAAAATATTTTTAAAAAATCCATGTTTAATGTTGGTCTTATGTTGAAGTCTTTTAAAAAATATTTTTAACATATCCAGTTGTTTTAAAGGCTTTAAAAATATTTAAAAAAACACACGCTTATTAATAGTATAGTAAAAAATATTCTTTATGTAATATTTTAGCTCGAATAGTCCTTAAAAAGTGTTATTTAATTTCGTTTTTTCATAGACCGCCTAAATGTGTGCTATGTTTTTAAATAATGCCTTAAAGTACTATCTTTTTGCAAATGTGTAAGTTTTTCTATTCTCCTCTTGTTTCTCTCCACATCTCTGAATCAATCTCCTATTCTCCGTGGTATCATGCCATTCATTAAATGACCCTCTTTGCGGTCTCGTTTATTGTTACTTTCAATTATGCTTCATTATCTGCGAGTCGTTTTTTTTTCTCCACATTCTGGCATGGACTACTGGAACATGCCATCATCTCCAACATGATGCAATATGGCATAACAAAAAGGAATTTATCCTTGAAAATGAAATACAAAGCACAAAAGGGAAAAGTGGAGCTACAGACAAAAAGGTCTCCAGACAGTCATTTTTTAATTCACTTTAACATGGCCAAGTTGTTTTATGACTAGTTTGTTCTTTTTTTTCGGTCCAAAAAATACTTTAAAATTGGTTTTTGTTAAGAGGCCAAAGAAAGGTTGTACCAAAGTTATAATTTAAAAAATGTCTGAAATTTAAACAGTAGCTTGACTCATCTAAGGCCTCTTCTACCCATTATCTCAGAACAGAACTTGTTTTAGCCTCAAATAATTAATCTTGGCAAAACTTCTTCTTGGGGTGTTAACATAATTTTAGTCTGTTCGACATGTGTGAGATTTTGTTAAATTGCCAGACAGATCTTCTTTTAAATCCATGTATTCGTTTTGCCGGCCGGGCTAACGAAATGGCCTCTGGTCATTCGTATGCCGTCTGCTTTTAATATTTGTTCTTTCTTTCTTGTTTTGAAAGAATAAATGACATACCAAACTCTTTGAAAAGTCAATGATTCTAAAATGACTGAAAAAATACTTGAATCAACACAAAGACAGAAAACTACAATAACTTTGGAATGCAGTGGAAATGAAACATGGCTATGGGCGACAACTAAGAAATATTTTTACAACAGCCTGGCCAAGTGGTGTATATCATTTATGTTGAGACAGATATTCCGGCAGGCAGGCAGCCAGACAATTCATTGGAAATGGAAAAAAAAAGAAATTTGATTTTACAATGTCAGTGAACCTGCACAGAAAACAGCAACAAATAAAAATTGGGAGGAAGAAACCCTGTAAAAACAACAAAAACTAATTAGGAGGAATAAAACATTAATTGGTCAGACAAAAGGAATTTAAGGTGGGGCCAGGTATCTCTTAGCCGTTTTTTGGGGAATAGCCTTTTCTCTTAAAGAAATATTGGAAAAATGTGACAAAGTTAAATAAAGAATTACAGAATAAATTATATATAATACAGTACTATTTATAATAAAATTGTGCCAAAATTATACTCTCAGTATATAATCAATTATACTAAATTAAAAGGAGTATATTCTTAAATTCTTGAAAGTGCCTGAAAGTATGCAACAGAAATGCCAACAATAAGTAGATGGATTAGCCTTTTTATACCCTCAGCCAAATGGCCAGAGAGGGTATATATTAGAGTATAAGATATTCGAATAATTTTTCGATAATCGATCTGCTTAAACCGATTAATAGATCTAAGATATTTTCAATAAATTCTTATTTTTTTAAATACAGGGAGATATAAAAAAAAACTGCGACAAAGTCAAACGCCATAATTT